ATTATTGATTTCAGAGAGGAAGGGAGAGGGAGAGATAGAAACATCAATGATGAGAGAGAATCATTGATCGGCTGCCTCCTGCACGCCCCCTACTGGAGATCAAGCCTGAAACCTGGGCATGTGCCCTTGACTGGAATCAAACCCAGGACCCTTCAGTCCACAGGTCGACGCTCTATCATCTGAGCCAAACCAGCTAGGGTGGCATCCAATCTTAATGGTTATCTAACTGTGACTATGGAATTAATACCATATGGGAATGTTTCTCAGTGCTTACAAAATATATTTAAAAATTTATTAGGCTAAGTGTATGCCTGGAATTCTATATCCCATATATGAGAAACAGCGGATGACTGCAATCACATTTTTACTTCATTGTGTTGGCTACTCTTTGACAGTGCAAAAGGATGGAAGCCCGGCTGAGGTGTGGTCTGTGGCCTCTTCCTTCCACCCTGACCCCAAAGAGGCTAGATGTTTTAAGATTGTTTCAGAAAGCCTTTTCAATTTTCAAAAAAATTTAATAACATATTAACATTAAGTTTTAAATATTTTAACATGTCATTTTGAAAACTATATTATTCTTATATACTAAGTAAAGACAGTGAAATCAAACTTTATTGTAAGTTGTTTATTGTAAGATAATTTACAAATATCTTGCTGTCTTTAGTAATTTAAACAACAGACCAATAATTTCTTCTGACCAGGACAGCAGTAAGCTAAAAACAAAATCAGCTGGCTGAATTTTCCTTCTTTACCTTTTGTCTGAGTACAGAACTTGATTTTTACAGGAACATTTGTTCTTTGTTTACCCCAAGAGCCTAGGACTATGGGACACAGTAGACTCTTCATAAATATTTTTCAAATGAATGACTAAATCACCATTGGCTGCGTGTCCATGGCCACATTCTGGAGCCCATCAACACACTGTCCTCTTTGGGCTGCTGTGAAGATTAGATGAGCACATGGGGAGAAATATCAAGGCTAACAAATTGTAATCCCTCCCTGACATACTAACTGAGACTCGGTCATTTAAGCAGCTCATCTGGATGTTCAAGGTTTCACTGACCCTAATGGGGAATGAGCATGCTAAAGGGAAATAAAGCGCCTGAAATTCGATTGTCTCCCACCCAGACCTCCTCATAGGCTGCAACAAATGGAGGAAGGGGAATGATGACAGCAGTTAAGAAAATAAAAGGGTGGGGAGGTCATCAAGAGAGCACAAGGGGGCAGATGATAAAAATAAAATTCTGAAGGACACAAACGCGCTCTAATAAACACGCTGGCCATTATGAACCAGAAAAAAAGAAAAAAAGAAAGGACTGTGAAATATTTTGGTAACGAAGAAAAGGTTCTCAATAAATTAAAAAATGTTATCTGTGAAAAAGAAATAGAAAATGAAAAATGTAACGGGGTTGATCTTTTCTTCTCATTCTTTCCTGATCATTACCTTTGAATGAGTTTCGAAGGAAATCAGATGACAACAAAATTTATTTTTTCTTTTCCTGCTAAGAAACGATAAATCAATACTGCCCAGCTTTAATATACAGCTTGTCAGCATACGTACTGAGTGTTTATTAATAATTTCTATTGGCAATAGCAAAACAAGAGCCATGATTTACTGCAGACTTATTTGGTGCTCTCTCTGGATACATGTTATCGCTAGGCCTCACTACAACACTCCCGGCTTAGTAGTACCTGGCTCAGCTTACATGTCAGGAAACCAAGGTTTCCTCTGAGCTCAACCTCTGACAGGTTACTTGATGGTAACGAAGAAAAGGTTCTCAATAAATTAAAAAATGTTATCTGTGAAAAAGAAATAGAAAATGAAAAATGTAACGGGGTTGATCTTTTCTTCTCATTCTTTCCTGATCATTACCTTTGAATGAGTTTCGAAGGAAATCAGATGACAACAAAATTTATTTTTTCTTTTCCTGCTAAGAAACGATAAATCAATACTGCCCAGCTTTAATATACAGCTTGTCAGCATACGTACTGAGTGTTTATTAATACATTTCTATTGGCAATAGCAAAACAAGAGCCATGATTTACCGCAGACTTATTTGGTGCTCTCTCTGGATACGTGTTATCGCTAGGCCTCACTACCACACTCCCGGCTTAGTAGTACCTGGCTCAGTTTACATGTCAGAAAACCGAGGTTTCCTCTGAGCTCAACCTCTGACAGGTTACTTGATTTGCCCAAGATTATAGGTATTAAGTGTCACATTCAGCATTTGACCTCAAGGCTACTCCAGAGCTGCCCCCATCCATTCCCCCCCCGCCCCCAGCTACTCTAGGTCTCTGTCTGCCTCACCATTTATTCTTTTTTATTTTTACTTATTTTTAAATATGTTTTTATTGATTTTAGAATGAGAGGAAGGGAGAGGGATTGAGAGATAGAAACATCAATGAGAGAGAGAGAGAGAGAGTCATTGATTGGCTGCCTCCTACATGCCCCCCTACTGGGGATCGGAGCCCCAAATCCAGGCACGTGCCCTGACTGGGAATCAAACTTAGGTCGATGCTCAACCCTAAGCCACACTGGTCGGGCAATTCTTACTTTTTCAATAATATCAGTAACTGTTCTGCCAGTCCATGATTCTGGAAGTATTTACAACTGAAAACTGGGGAGCACTGCCCCAGTGAGAAAGGGCTTTGGCTATGTTAGGTTAAAGATTTATTTAACTCAGTGCAGAAAACTGAACACATTTTTGAAGGAAAGTATTGATACTTCATCTAGACCAGCGGTTCTCAACCTGTGGGTCGCCAACCTGTGGGTTGCGACCCCTTTGGGGGTCGAACGACCCTTTCACAGGGGTCGCCCAAGACCATCGGAAAACACATATATAATTACATATTGTTTTTGTGATTAATCACTATGCTTTAATTGTGTTCAATTTGTAACAATGAAAATGCATCCTGCATATCCGATATTTACATTACAATTCATAACAGTAGCAAAATTACAGTTATGAAGTAGCAACGAAAATAATTTTATGGTTGGGGGTCACCTCAACATGAAGAACTGTTTTAAAGGGTCACGGCATTAGGAAGGTTGAGAACCACTGATCTAGACAAATGGACCGTCTCTGAGGGTCCTCAGGGGGTCAGTCATAAAAGGACCCATGACATTCAGCTGCAGGAGAAAGGGATGAAGGTGTAAGGAAAGGGCAGAACTGTCTGCAGCTCCACCTCTGCAGCTTAAAATATGATCTGATACATGCATCCTGCTCCAGAACAGGAACACGTGGGCTCACGGGAAGAGTGAGGGCTCTATAAACAATCACATGGGCCTGGGCTCACAGTCCAGCCCCACTCATCAGCTGTGTGTCCTCAGAGCAATGCCTTCGCCTCTCCGAGATGCATTTCTATGTCTGTGAACATGTGGTCATAACTCCTACCTCGATGGGAGATTATTTCATAAGGACTAAATAGTAAAGCATGTGCAGTAAGATGCCTCGCCGACACAGGCAGCTTCCTTTCTGTTCCCATGGGCGACAGACTGAAGCCTTCCCCGCCCTCACACACCTGAGCATTTTCTCTCGGAGGACAGCGCTGTCCTTTTCTGTCCCATCCTGTCAGAGCTGTGGCCTGGAGCCCTGGGCAGGTAGGTGCCACATGCACCCTTTTTGAATTCATTACCTAATTCTATGAGTGATTCCAGCCGTAGCTTCCCGGGGTATAAGGTTAGTGACAAATAGCTTCAGAGAATCATTTAATCAGCTCGCTATAACATATATTACCTTCAAAGAGTGCATATACATATTTGAGTTGTTCTATGTGATATATACCCAGTGCACTGGCTTGATGAACTGAGTGCCCCCAGGCCCTCCTGGAGGGGCCCTGGCAGGCTTTAAGCATGTAAGTCCCTTTTACAAATCTCTCATGGCACCTAGCTCATTGCACTATTAAACTGTGCTTCTGACCTGATCTGAATCACTGTTTGTGCGCTTTAAGCTTCAGCACCTTGCCTGGTGCATAGGGCACGCTCAATAAATGTTTGAATGGATGATTCTGCAAATGAGCTCCAGGAGACATACAGAGACACTTCCTTCTGGTGCAGTTTCTGTGCAGAAGTTATCCGAAAATGTAATATCCTGCATGTATTTCCCATTAGGCTTTATTAGCTTTTCACAGCACCGCTTTGCAGTGGATGGAAACAATCCGTCTACATCACAGCTCGAAGATTTTCTTTGTGTTTTTTTTTTGGCGGGGGGAGGGTGAGGGAGGAGCAGCAATCCTCAGCCCTCTGTCTGCTGTGGGCCCTTCTCTGTCTAATGCCAAGAAAAGGGAAGCTTGAAGTAATTACTACTTAGCCCTTTGAACCAATTTGAGCAAAAAGGCCCAGAAATGCAACGTGCAGCAAATGTTTCCGGGGACTGGAAAGCAACAGGCTGACCTGGATGTCCCAGGGAGGAGGGTAACCGGGGCTGTGATGAGCTGACCTAGTGTTTCTGCAAACAGACTCCGGGCAGCAGCTCTAATCAAAGCAGCAGAGCACTGCCCTCCATTCCAGAAAGTAGAATGTGAACAACCCCTAACTTGGCTCTTCCTTAAATCTGCTCAGGCCCAGCGGGGAGTCTGAACTCCACGGGGGTGGAGGGGTGGGGGGGACTGGGAGCAGGACCCTCTGCTGCTGCCCTGCTCCCAGAGAACAGATTTACCTGAAGAAACTTTACAAGCACTTGCCAGGTTCCGCTTGCTCTCTGGGATGGAGGGAAGTGGAGGAGGCCCTTCTTACTGTGGATCTTCTAAGGGTCTGAAGGAAGAGGCTGAGCGTAGGGGCGGTCCCGGGCGGCTCCCTGGGAAGCTGCAGCCAGTCTCCGGCAAAAACACCCACTTAGCAACCCGTTCCTAAGGAAGGTCACTCGGTGGCTTTCTTTTTTTTTCTTTTAAAGCGACAGGTTAATCCTCTCGTAGTGGAACACAAGCACGCTGAGCAGCAGGCACAACCCGTGGGACGAGGACAAAGAGAAATCAGCTGGGGGAGGAGCTGGCAGAAATTAGGTCAGGCTGCAGGGCCTCATGTCCTGGGGTCACAGGTGTTTCTGGTCAAAGACAGGCCATGCTCAGAGCAGCTGGTTACGATCTTGAGAGGCCATCATTTCAAGGTGAGGGTGTCTTCTTTGTACCAAAGGTCCCTAGAGGTGCTCCGGGCCCCAGGGAATGTTGCTCGGGGAGGTTTCAGTTAAATGTGGGGGAGTGAATGTACAAAATTAATCTCCCTGTATTCTCCGAATCCCACTGAAATCACTGAACGAGGATATAACTGTTATGGCTCAAAAAAGCAGAGAGAATGAGAGCAGAGGCAAAGCAGATGCAAGAATATGGAGTGGACAGACCAAAGAAAGCCACATGCCAAGTATACATGTGCGTGTGTGCGTGTGTGTGTGTGTGTGTGTGCACGTGTGCATGTGTGTCTCTATGTCTGTGTGTCTCTGTGTGTCTGTGTCTACATGGTATGGAGTGGACAGACCAAAGAAAGCCACATGCCAAGCATACATGTGCGTGTGTGCATGTGTGTGTGCATGTGTGTGCACGTGTGCTTGTGTGTATCTATGTCTGTGTGTCTCTGTGTGTCTGTGTCTACATGTATCTCTCTGTGTTTCCGTGTATCTGTGTGTATCTCTGCATGTGTACATGTACATGAATGTGTCTCTGTGTCTGTACCTGTGTCTGTGGGTCTCTTTGTATTTATGTGTGTATCTGTGTGTCTGTGTCTATGGGTGTCTCTGTGTATCTGTATATATCTCCACATGTGTACATGTATATACATGTGCCTCTGTGTGTGTGCATGTGTTTGAGTGTATCTCTGTATGTGTAGCTGTGTCTGTGTGTGTCTCTGTCTATGTGTGTCTCTCTAGGTGTTTCTGTGTATCTCAGTGTATATCTCTGCATGTGTGTTTATCTCTGTGTGTGTGTTTGTGTACATACATGTGCCTCTGTGTGGGGGACAGGTAGACATAAGAATGAGGAAATGAGTTGGTCACTCTACAGAACTCCAGAGGTTCAGGATTGGGCTCAGTTGTGTGATGGGCTGAATGTGTCCCTCTAAAAAAGATATGCAGGCGTCCTAACCCCAGTCCCTCAAAATGTGACCTTACTTAGAGATGGGACTTGACAGGGGGAGTCAATTTAAAACGAGGTCATTAGACCTAATCCAATATGGCTGTGTTCTTATGGCAAAGGGGAGTCAGTGCACAGAGACAGGCACATGCAGAGGGAGGACCGTGAGAAGACACGGGGTGGGAACAGCATCTACAGGTCGAGAGCACCTGAGGCCACCAGAAACTGGAGAGAGGCAGGGAACCGAGTGTCCCTCACTGCCCTCAGAAGGAACCACCCAGCCAATGCCCGTTTTCTTCTAGCCTCCAGAATCATGGGACAATACATTTCTGCCGCTTTAAGCCACTCAGTGTATGGTACTTTGTTATAGCAGCCTCAGGAAACGAATACAGTCAGATACCAAGGGGAGTGTGGAGAGAAATGGAGCTGAAATGCAAGGAGAGTTGAAAGTCTACTTACTGAGGGGCTAGATCCTCAGGACCCTCCCTTACTCCTGCGGTAAGTCTCCTCCCACCCCCTCTTCTTCTGCCACGTAGGAGAGTCAAGGCTTCTAGGACAGGTGAACCACAGACACTCTGGTCTCCAGGCCCCAGGAATGGCAGAGGGTGGGTGTGTTTCAGGATTGAAAACTGAAGACTAAGTGGAGAGGTGGATAGGGTGCTCTCCTCACAGGACTAAGACAACCAAAAATATCCCGTTGGCTCCCTTGTCCCACCTCCACCAGCGTCAAATTAGAACACATGGGAAATTATTTTCTGGAGAAACTAAATGTTCACAAAGAACAGATCCCAGATACTGACATTTCTGGATCCTCCACTGAAAGAAACTAGCGCATCACCCTTGCAAAAGAACATCCCAGAGAAAATGAGGGGATTTCGGGTGAAGAAATTCCACACTTGTAGGTATAGAAAGAACCAAAAAATGAAAAGGTAGAATTTATCAAAGAGGTAATATAAGAAAAAGTCTCAAAAGTGAAAGAATAAGTCTTTAGATTGAAAGCTGGCACTAGGCGACAACAAACACATTTCTGTCTGTCTCAGTTTGTGCTCCGCATGTGGTGAGAAAAAATATTCTCCAGGGAATTCATAACTATGGCTTGCACTATGCTGTCTAACTGTCTTATTTATGTTATATCTTTTAGGAACACCCTATGTGACACATTTTAAAAAGTGGACTCAGGTTATTGTATCCCTATGGGGTGCTGGGGAAGAGTAGATACAAAACATTTTTGGAGAGATACACATTCAAGTAGTCAGCTCAGGATGGGTGAAGATAAATCTTGCTGAAGATGAGCTCACAATCCAAAATTAGACTGCACAGGAGGAAACAATCAGATCTGCAGGCCACAGGAGGGCACTGCTAGATACCCAAGAACTTCTGATAACACAATGATCAGAGAGAGAATGTAACAAAACTGACGACCACAAAAGAACTTAAAAGGAGGGTTTGAAAATATGAAAGAAGAGTGAGGTACCATCAGCAAGAGCAGGCAAATGTGAAAGAATCAGCTAAAGCTTTCAGAAATGAATAATACAGTTATGAATTTTTTTTGAAGGAAAGCATAGGTTAAATTTCTGAAGGAAGAGCTAGAAAGAGAATTAATGATGTAAAGAAGAGATTTAAAGAATTAAAATGTGCACAGCAAAAGAAACCATCAACAAAACGAAAAGGGAGCCCACTGTATGGGAGAATATATTTGGCAATGATACATCTGATAAAGGGTTAATATCCAAAATATATAAGGAAATCATACAACTTAACAAAAGGAAGACAAACAATCCAATTAAAATATGGGCAAAGGACCTACACAGACACTTCTCCAAAGTGGACATAAAGATGGCCAAGAGATATATGAAAAAATGCTCAAAGTCACTGATCATCAGAGAGATGCAAATTAAAATGACAATGAGGTATCACCTCAGAACTGTCAGAATGGCTACCATCAACAAATCAACAAATGATAAGTGCTGGGGAGGATGTGGAGAAAAGGGAACATTAGTACACTGCTGGTGGGAATGCAGACTGGTGCAGCCATTATGGAAAACAGTATGGAGTTTCCTCAAAAAATTAAATATGGAACTGCCATTTGACCCAGTGACCCCACTTCTAGGAATATATCCTAAGAAAACTAAAACACCAATCAGAAAGAATGTATGCACTCCTGTGTTCATAGCAGCATAATTTACAATAGTAAGATCTGTAGATGAGTGGATAAAAAAGCTGTGGTGAATTTTACCATGGAATACTATGCTGCAGTAAAAAAGAAGAATCTCTTACCCTTTGATACAGCATGGAGGGACCTGGCGAGTATCATGCTAAGTGAAATAAGTCAGTCAGAGAAAGACAAGTATCTCATGATCTCATTCTTATGTGGAATCTAAGTAACAAAATAAACTGATGAACAGAGTGGATCCAGAGACAAGGAAGCATGGAACAGAGTGTGGAATCTCAGAGGGAAGGCAGGGGAGGGTGGGTGGGAGGGAAGTAATCAACCAAGAACCCATGGAAGCATGGAACAGAGTGCAGGATCTCGGAGGGAAGAGGAGAGAGGGTGGGTGGGTGGGAAGTAATCATCCAAGAACCTTGCATGCATATATGCATGGCATGGCCCATGGACACAGACAATGGGGCATCGAGGGCCTGGGGCTGGGGTGGGGATGCGGGTGGGCTGGAGATGGTCAATGGGGGGAAAAGGGAAACATGTAATACTTTCAACAATAAATATTTAAAAAAAGAATTAAAATGTGGCACAGATATGGAAAATGGGAAAAAGTGGATGAAGGTCTTGGGGGAGAAATCCAGGAGATCTATGAGTCTCAGGAGGAGAGAAGAGTGAAAGAAGATAAATGCTGGATCTTAAAATGGAGGGATCTTGGTCAACTTCCTTAACTCCCCTAGGTCTCAATTTTCTCATCTATAGAATGAGATTAATAATAGTAATTACTGCCCTCGTTCTATTCCTGGTCAAGAGCATGAACTAGTAGTAGTATCTGGGTTGCAGGTTCTATCCCTGGCCCCACTTGGGACATGTGTGGGAGGCAACCAATCAATGTGTCTCTCTCACATAGATGTTTCTCACCCTCTCTAGCTCTCTCTCCCTCTACCCCTTTCCACTCTCTCTAAAAACAAAAAACAATGGAAAAAATATCCTTGGGTGAAGAGTAACAGCAACAACAACAACAAAATAGTAATTACTACAGAGGCTGATTTATTAAGTTAATGTTTATCAGGCCCTGGCAGACAACAAATGCAGGTTTTACAAAAAAAAAAAAAAGGTGAATGTTGTCTTACCTCAGACACCTTTAATAAAATACCATAGACTGGGTGGCTTAAACAATATAAATTGATTTTCTCACAGTTCTGCAGGGCTGGAAATCCAAGGTCAAGGTGCCAGTTGATTCAGTTTTTGGTGGGGGCTTTCTTCCTGTCTTGCTGTGTCCTCACATGGCCTTTGCTTGATGCATTCAGATGGAGAGAGAGAGATCACTCTTCCTATTGGGCATCCTCAATTGGATTAGGACTCAACTCTTATGACCTCGTTAACCTTAATTACCTCATACAATCCCTATTTCAAAATATAGTTACATTGAGGGTTAGAGTAGCAACCTGTGATATTTAGGGGGCGGGGGCACAGTTCAGTGTATAGTAGATGTTTATTATAAGAGATCAGTCACTTGAAGTGATCAACTGTCCTAAGAGGTGGAATTTGTTCACCACTCTTGTGCTAATTAACCTTCTGATTATAACCTCCTTTATCTTTCAACATTTTGCTAAACCAGCTCATAAGAATTATACATTGCCTCATAATGTTCTGAAGTTATTAAAAAGTGTAATTCAAAAACATCATTTCTTGTGAA